ACTCATTAAGGTCATTAAATTTTTAAAAATCTAAAATTAAAATGCAATGAGACCCAATGAATTTGATAATTTTGGAAAATCTTGCCTAAAGCCTTTGAGAACTAGGCTGAAAATGCTGCAATTCCCCTTCTCTAAGTGATTAAAAAAAAAAAAAAAAAAAGAAAACTTCTGATACATTCAAGATACCTGTAAATAAAAAAAAAAAAAAGATACCTGTAACTAATATATAAGTCTGCTATTTCAGAAATGTGGCTTAGGGCCAGGCATTTCAAATATATTTGCAGGGATAAAATAAAAGTCCCACAACTTTTGCATTTGTAACATGTTCTTTCCATGCCTATAATGTCTGGGACTTAAGAGGGTGAGGCAAGAGGACCGTGAGTTCAAGGTTATCCTGGATTTCATAATGACAGTGTGTCTCAACAAAACAAAAATAAAAGAATAAAAACCAAAATCCCCAAAATAACAAGAAAAAAAAAAAAAAACATACTTTTTCTGGAAGCTGAGATTCAACTTCTTTCTTCAATCTTCTCAATAAAAATGGTCTCAGCACCTTGTGTAGACGCCTGATGATCAGGATGGTTTCTTCTTCATTTAAGTCCACCTACAAAGGAACTTCAGATGAATGTGGGTTTCTTAAAGGATATTTCATACAATAAAGTATTAGGGGGCTGGGGAGATGGTTCAGTGGAATAAGTGCTTCCCAGTAAGCGCAAGGGCCTGAATTCAATTCCTAGTTCCACCAAAAAAAAAAAAAACCAATAAAGTATTACGTATATTTGTTGTGTGTTTCAATGCATAAATGAAATTTTACATGCATTAAAACCAGGCTTACACTAACCATCCACACCTTCAAATTGTTTTCCCATCTGTCCATTGTAAAGGACAATGGCTATCATTGCCTTAATGTTGTGTTCTCTAGAAAGGGGTACAGAAACCAGCTTCTAGATCAGTAGTATCCAGAAATTCCAGCTAGTTGGGAGGCTTAGGCAGCAAATCCATAAATTCAAGGCCAGCCTGGGCAACCTAGAAAGATCCTTTGTCAAAATAAATTTTTTTTAAAGTGGACAAGTTTTGAGAGTGTAGCTCATTTGCCTAGTATGCATGATGCAACAGGCCCTGAGCTCAGTCCCTAGCACAGCAAAACTAAACACACAATTAAAAAACCCTCATTGGATGCTGAGACAATAGCAGAGAAAAGACAAGAGTTAATGTGTTTCTTCTTCAAGCTGAACACTTCAGTTAGACCTTGATGTGGTTGTTTCAGAAATGTAATAAGAGAACAGGAAGAGGAATCACCGTAGACCCCTTTCATGCTGGTAAGTCTCCAAGTTGCTCTATACCATAATTCTCTTTTGGTCTGCCCTGATTTTGTTCAAGTTTAGTCCTAATGAGAAAATCCTCTACATTTCCATTTCCTTTCCACTATGAACCTCCAGGGGGCAGAATCAACTGGCACTACTCTACAAATGGGAAAGCCAGTTAAGTAGCCACAGATGGCATGTGTGCCTCGGAGGTACCTCATGACTAAAGGGCAACAGAGTTTAAACATAAATGCTCCTAATTCATTCTTAGTGGCTTTCATTCCTATAGTTGAGGAACCATTAGTGTTTTCATAAGTGAGTTCTAAGAGAAGGAATAGAAATAATACACCTGAAGGAATAAAATTGAAAATGGTTACTTCAAGAATTCAAGCATATTTCTGTACACATGAAATGAAGCCTTATAAAATTTTTTTTAAATGTGTGCAAGAAATTCCATGTAAACTAGTTTGGTTTTATACACAAACTCTTTATGGAAATACTTTGAGGGGAAGTCCAAGTTTATAACAAGGAAAGATCTGCTTTAGGGTTTTCATTCAATTGGTTGAGTTAGTCTGGTTCAATTAATTCAACAAATATACCCATGTTCACCTTCCTAGTAGCCTCTGTGGGTCTGTGTTCCACCCGTCAGAAGCATTCTCTAGGGACAAGGAACATGCTGGCCAAAGGGAAGGTGTTAGGAGGCCCATGCATACCTCCAGGTTCAGAGAAGAAAATAATCCTGGGAGGAGACCATATCTACCCAATGACTGGCTCCATAAAGCACATAACACTATAACCACCCTGTGAGTTCTCCTTGGTTCTAATGTTCTTCAGGCCCTTTGATTTCATTGTTATGAGATAGAGAAAAACACCCCAAAAGTTAGAGAAGTACCCTTTCGCCAGTCATGGCAAACGGAGCATTAAACCACTGTTCGAATGTGCTGCAGCTCTTAAAAATTGTAGGGAGGAGGAAGTTGAGGAGGGCCCAGAGTTCAGGGAGCTTATTCTGCAGTGGGGTTCCAGTCAAGAGGATTCTTCTGGGGGCCACATAATGAGTGTTCAAGACCTGAGTCAGCTTGCAGTGGTGGTTTTTCATTCGGTGGCCTTCATCCACGATCATGTATTTCCACCGAATCTGCAACACAAGAGGAAGGCCACATGTGGTGAGGAAAGGAACATACAGCAGGTAATTGGGGGTGTGGAAACCCAAAGAGCCCACATTTGGTACATGATACAGTCTGATGCCCCAGAAGATGAAAGCACCTCAACGGACAGACCACTTCTCATGCCTGACAGAGTGCATAAAACACCATGTGATTATGGGATATTAAAGTAACAGTGCTCCTTAAAGGATACGGGATTCCAAGTCATCCTTTTACAAGGAAGGAAATTTGAACCCCCAATAAAATTGTTGATCCAGCCCTCAGGTCCTGCCTCTCCTTATCCAATGCTCCTCTTACTGACTTTGGGTCATACTGCCTCTCTCCATACTAACTACAGAACAGAGATACCCACTGGAAACAGAAAGTAAGGACTGGTTTCTCCAAGATGGCCCTAGCAGGTGTCTGTAGCTGAAATATTTTTGGCTTCAGCTCCATTTTCTAATCCACTGGGCTGGGTATCTTTAAGGCTTGACTAAGTGTTTTATTTTCTTTGATTTGAATGGGTTCCTAACATTGATATATTGTAATATTTCACATAAAAATCTAAACATTGTGCTTCTGTTAAAAAAATTATGCTAAACAAAGAGGCTCCCTTGGTTCAAGTATATTCCTTATTCGCCAGGTCTAGGATCGCCTGTGTTGTATTTAAAATGTCCTCACTGAGAAAGAGGCAACACAAAATACCATTCTTCCATTTGTGCCACTACTCCAGAATTATACACAACAAACTGTCTCAAGATGACTATCATAGAAAAAGTTGAGCATGCGCATAATACCATCCCCTTTCCTAAATCCAGAGTTTCATCCTCTCTGATACTTCAGCCCTCTCAAGGTCACTGCTCAGTTTCTGAAAGTGACTGTAAGGAAGAATGTTCCACTCGCCTACCCTCTCCCTACACAGCAACAGAGTGACCAAGAAAAGCACTTGTAGTTTGGATGTCCCCAGACCCTGTAGCCAAGCTCTTCTGAGAGAGAGGCAGCAGCCAAGCAGACTGCCATGGCATCCTTGCCTTTTCCATTAGAAGCACTAGTAATACTGGGAAAAGGAATAAAATCATAATTTAGACAGAGAGGTACAAGTGAAAGAAACTACCATAAATTTTTCCTTCCCCTACCACTTCCAAGAAAAGGGCTTAAGAATGATTACAGCTGTACTATCAATTGTCCCAAACTCAACACTGGCAGATAGAAATGTATTTAAATAAATTTTCTAAATCTACTTCCTTGCCTAATTTAGCTTATGAAATAGTACACATGGAATCAGAGGCCGCTGGTTTTGCTGTTGGGTTTCCTACTAATTAGGTCTTCTCTTGGAAAAAAATTACTGCCCCTTCCATAGCTCCATTTCTCGAGTAACAAATAAAAGCAATGCATCTCATTACCAGGCATCTCCAATGAATTTTGAAATACACATGCAGAAGACATGATATGGATTTTTTTAAAAGGATCTCAAATGGACAAGCACACTCCCACAGTAATATTGGAAGCGCATCATTTTTGACACTGCCAAATTCATCTCTGAGCACGAGGGGCAGGAATGCAGCGTTGTTGTCAGTGCCATCTCAATTATTAAACCTCCCCTGGGAACATGCTTTCTTTATGTTATTTCCTATGATGCCATGAAGGGAACTCAGTTCCCACAGCCAAAGTTTAATGCAGGGAGAGAACAAACGGCAGAAAAAAGGAGTCTGCTCAATGCTGGGTATAACTTAGTTTCAGATTATAGTGGTTTCCAAAACCCCATGGGGTAAGAGAAATTATCGAGGGAAAAAAAATAAGTTCCTATGATTACTTCATGAAAAATAGTACTTTCATTTTTCTACACAACCATCCTAGGAGAAAAGATGACATGAAGGGGGGAAACCCTTCTATTTTTTGGCTAACGAATAACTTAGGACATATGAATGAAGACATTCACAGGGCACAGAAGCAACTCTTTCTCAGCACCCTCTAAATACTCACAGGAAGAGACCTCAGTGCTCTGAACAATGATTGCCCATTACTTTATCAGAAAAGAACTGCAAACAGATATAACACATGCACCTCAGCTTGGACAAAGGCTCATACGGGGAGTCCATATGGAGAGGTGCCTGCTTATCTTCCCAGGGAAAGAGATAGAGGCAAAAAAGGAATGAAGTTACACTGACAATAACCCAGGGCAATAAAAATAATTATTTCTTCCCAAGAACGCTCAAGGCTGTTGTAGGAAAAAAGTTGCAATGTGAACCCAGGTGAAGTTCTTAAAATAGGTAACATATTAAGTATGAGAAGATAGGGAAGAGTCCAGGATCAAACACACACACATAGGAAAAGACAGTGGTGTGCAAAAAAACTAAAGCCTATCACCAAAATGTATCAGACTTATGGGAAAAAAAAGAAAAGAAAGAGACCAGACATCCAATGATCAAATTATACCATTGAGTATAATTTGGTGAACACTTTGCAGTCCGGCGAGATAGCCTATAATTAGAGATGAAAGAATTTTTTTCAAAAAGCATACCTTTGCAAGAATGTGCTTGTCTTTTATAATGTACTCGTAAGTAGTCAAGAGGACATTGAACTTGCCACTCCGTAGCTGGGGGACCAGGGAGCGGCGCATTGCAGGGGTACCCTGAATGGAGAGAAAAACATACCAGTTACCCAATGAAAGTGCTTGTGCACCGTTCCTCACAATTCATGGCTTAATGGAGCCCAGACATGTGACATATGTGCATAGGTGCATTATTATATGCTGATCCATCACCCGTGAAGAAAGTCTCAGCTACATCACACACATCCTGACACTTTCCAAACCCTGACAGGAAGGTTTTCCCACTTGTGACTGATGGAGTAAAAGATAAAAGGAAACTGCAGCAAGCTTGCAGTCACAGGGAACCTGCTGCTTGGCTGAAAGGCTGCATTTCTGTGGGCATGGGTGGTGGGTGGCTGGGAGCCCGGGTAATTGCCTGACTTTGCAGGACCTTCAGCAGCAGAGCAGCCGCAGCAAGCCAGGCAGCAGCGCACAGAGTGTGCGGTATTTGTCATTTGTATTACTCTCTTCAGAAACCTCGCAATATGATAATTAACAATTTTCTTCTGCATTTCACTATCTGAAAGTAATTATGGTTTATTACAGTAATCTTCTTGGGATGATTAACTCTCACTGTTTGGTACATGATGTACATGACAAAACTTTACAGCCGAATACAGTTCACAGATGTGCATATGGAATGAAGAAAACAGGGTCTAATTTTTGCTTTTCCACATTTATATATAAATACAGCACTCCAAACCTTATAAGAAATCTTCACCACAGAAGGAGCCCACTTGTCAAATTCATATGTCCAGTTAGACAGAGTCCTACAGAACAACAAAAAATATAGAAAAAGAAAGACATTCAGAAAAAGGTCAGTGCTTAAAAGATGTTCTTTATCTTCAGGCCTTGGCTTAGAAGGGGCTAAAGAATATAAAATATCTCAACTACATGCTTATTTAAAAGTGCAGAAATAAGAGATAAGTTGGAAATAAGTTGCTATGAAGCATGACTTTGTGCTTC